AGCTGGGGATGGAGGAGGGTAATTTGCTCCTGAGCAAGCGATAAAGCTGCTGAATAATACTGAATAGACTTTATATAGGAATGTAGTGAAAGGCATTGTATTCCTATAGGTAGACGTGGATCATAGCATCAGCTTATGCAAACATTACACTTTTTTTTGTAAAGTAATCAATTTAAGCTATTTACTAACAATATTTTTATGTTAAAACATGCACACTTTTACTCTTATTCAAATGCCTACTATGTAGAAAATGCAAAACAGCAAAATGTTTTTTTGCTGTTTTGCTGAATGTTGTCCCATCACATTCCGTTATAAATTACATAAATTATGTAAATTACGATTCAAAAAGGTTGAGTAGTTTGCATCCGCTTTTAATATCTTCATGTTAAATTGTTCCTATTTCAGTTTTAACATGAGATCTTTCTAGATTACTCATTAATTAATCATAAAAATGAAAGATATATGAGCAAGTTATTTTATATTGTATATCAATGCCAAGATTTGAAATGTCAGCAGACATTGAAACAGTCAACAAAGCTGGTTAATATTAATTCTGAAACTTCTGAAACCACAGTTCCAAATCAATTCAGAGTTTAACTCAGATTCATGAATAAATTAGCCTGATTTGTGAAGAAACTTTCTGAAGCATCAAAAGATTCTTCAAAAGCGCTGGTTTGTCTTGTTTTGTCCACTGAAAAAATGAGAGCATGCAGATTTGGAAATGCATGAGGTTGAGTAAATGATAACAGCATTATATTTAAGAAGTTTCTATAAACATATTTAAATAATTTCCTTTCTACTTTTTATCTTCAATGTAGCTTGACGGTGATGATGCCAAGGCAACATTCGAAGAGGAGGGGAGTGGATGTGTATTCTGAAACTCAAATGCCGTTATAGATCATTTTTCTGGAACCAAATTAATTTTTCACAATCAGAGTCAGCAGAATTAGAGTGCAGCCAGCATATAAAAATGTTGACAAAATGATACCCAACTTTAATCCCATTTTAATGCAACTGTGACAAATTCATTTTATTGATGTGTGTGTGTGTTGGAATTTTCTGTTAATTATTGTTATAATGATCAATTACAGTTCTTACAAGATGACATGTCATCATGACATGCAAAATTTGGATGTACATACAAGTGCCTTTTATGAGGTCTTTAAAATCAGATAGGACCAGCACCTCACAAAGGTAAGATATTTTTTTTCATTACAAAGAAATATATTTTTAAATACTTTGTCTTGTTGGAGGAGTAGATTTGCTTTGTCCCTCTTATAAAGATGTACCAGTCTAGACATCATTGGGTGACTTAAACCTGAAGAATGCATTTCCTGAGGAATGTATGTATTTTATGCTGTCAGATAGCTCTACATCAAACAACATGTTCAATCGTATTTCCTTTCCATGTTACAAGCAAATAAGACAAACAGCCAAAGTGACACTTCATAAATGTGAAATATTTAATATATATAATATATATATATATAATAAATTCTGTAAAAATATGTCTGATAGTTTGTTGTTTTCCTGTATCGTCACCATCATAAAATGTTGTAACATATTGGAGCCTACAGTTGCCTTAACATTTCAGATGCGGTTCATCATTCTCGATGACAGACCAATACATTTTTATTGAAAATACCACAATGTTGCGCAGCTTATTTATATGCTATAAATGGTTATAAAAAACATAGGAGCCTATGGCAGGGTTCTCTGATGATCGATAACATTTATAAGAGCTTTAAGTCAGCATCTTTACATGTATGGCAGCTATTCCATTCCAAGCATCTGTTGAATTCCAACACAAGCACACCTCATTCTGCTTAATGAAGTATTGATTAGGTGATCCCCTCATCCATATCTTATTTAATGAGGAAAAGTACATCACTACCCTCTTGCAACAAGACCAGCTGGATGGCAAGAACAGTGCTAGTAGTACCTCGAAAGTAATTGGAATCAAGTAATAACTATTGATCATGCCAAAAGAATTGAAAAGAAAAGTTGTGAGTGAGGAAAAGAAGGGTTCAATTCTAGCTTTCCTGACGGAGGGATACAGTGAGCGTCAGCCTGGTTCCATCCTTAAAATTTCAAAGACAGAGGTTCATAAGAACAAGGTCAAGCTGCTGAGATTGGGGACAACAAAGCTACAGACCGGCAGAGGGCGAAAATGACTTTACACTGACCAGGATGACCGCCAACTCATTCAAATGTCACTTAACAACCGTACGACAACATCAAGTGACCTACAAAAAGAATGGCAAACGGCAGCTGGGGTGAAGTGCACAGTGAGAACGGTTCTGAAGTCAAAGTACAAAGCTAGAAAAGAAGACATCAATGAGAAGTAAAGAAGAGCCAGGCTGAGGTTTGCAAAAGACCATAAGGATCGGACCTGAGTCCAGTTTAAATGTGAGAGAGACCTGGAGAGGCCTACAAGTCAAAGTGTCGCACACCCACAGGGTTATTCCACCCAATTTTGTTTTCTGAACTCTTCCTAAGTTAAAACATTAGTATTGTGTTGATGAACTTGTTTTCTTTGCATTATGTGACGTCTGAAAACACTGCATCTTTTTTGTTATTTTGACCAGTTGTCATTTTCTGCAAATAAATGCTCTAAATGACCATATGTTTATTTGAAATTTGGGAGAGATGTTGTCAGTAGTTTATAGAATAAAACAAAAATGTTGATTTTACTCAAACACATACCTATAAATATTAAAACCAAAGAAACTGATCATTTTGCAGTGGTCACTTAATTTTTTTTCCAGAGCTGTATTTTCCATGTTTAAGAATAATTTTGAATCATAATATAATTTTTATTAATAATTTTTTATATTTCTGTTTTCATTTTAATTTTATTTAAGGTTTTAGTTATAGTGTTGTGTGTGTGTTTTGAAATATGTCTATATTGTTTTTTTTCTGTTTTTTTTTCAGATTCTTTATGTTTTTTTTGGGGGGGGGGGTTTAGTTTTAGTTAAACTAGTTTAACTAAACTGAATGAAAATGAGAAATGTTGCTTTGACAGCTAGCTGAAATTAAATAAGTTTTATGTTTGTTTGTTTTTTCAGTTAATGCTTATTTTATTTCAAACAAATATTTTAAATGGTTTTATTTTAGTTTCTGTCAACAATAATAACCATGATATGCAAGGACCATTATTTTAAGAATTCATACATAACAAATTTGCCTTAAGATAAAATGAGTTCCTAGTTCTGTCTGCACCCATGCAGGGAACCATGGACCGCCTCTAATATTTGGCCAAGGCTGCTTGTTGACCTCAGTGAAGGGCTTGGAATGAGATGCAGTGTGTGTCCTGTAAGGTCATGGTGGGTGGGTAGGTTTTTTGACTAGTCAATAAATAAATAAACATTAGCAAATCACTAAAAAAAATTGATTTCAATCAGCGAAGCAGTTGAAATCCTCATGTTTTTTAATAAATAAACTAATCAAAGAAATAAATCTAATACAAAGAAACCTTTAAAATAAAGCAAATACAAAATGCTCATTAACAAATCTAAAAATGTATACATACATGAGCAAAAATGTATAAATAAATATATAAACAAATAAAAAGCAAGCAAATAAGAAGTAAATAAAACATAAATGCACTTCAACGCAAAAACAAATCTCCAAATTTAATAATTTTCAATGATCTTGATTTTAAATGACAACGTAAAAAAAGTAATCCTCAGTTAATTGGCCTTAAGGTTGGCATGTTTGAGATGTTTATATGTAATTAAGTCTAAATTAAATCTGTTTATCATATAAAGTGATTGTGTCTCTTCTTGAGACTAGGATTAAACTGCTCGATTCATATGGATTACTTTTACAATGTCTTTATGAAGTTTTTGGTGTCAAATTTTGGTGGAATGGCCTTTTAAAGGGGTCATATGATGCGATTTCAATTTTTCCTTTCTCTTTGGAGTGTTACAAGCTCTTGGTGCATAAAGAAGATCTGTAAAGTTGCAAACACTAAAGTCTCAAAACCAAAGAGATATTCTTTATAAAAGTTAAGAGTCAGCCACGCCTACCTAAAACGCCTCGTTCTAACACGCCCCCACATATCTACCTCACTATGTGGGAAGATTTGCATAACACCGCCCAAATGTTCATGCAAAGAAAGAAGGCGTAACTTTTATTCTCGCTGTAGTATTGTTGACACTGCACTGTGTGCTTCGTTGTGAAAGCGAAACTACTTTGTTTGGCCTTCCAAAAAAGGACGATATCCGCTTCGTCATGCCTAGAGCTGATCCGTGCTGGTCGCTGAGGGAATACATCAACTTTCATCGTGGACGAAGTGGAATCCAGCCCGCCTCAGCTCACATGTGGTTGCCGCTCATTCGTCGGATCTGCCGGGCACGCAGTTCTCGACCCCGCCGCCTCAGCTCACTCTTGCCCGGCCTCAACTCACTCTATCCCGGCCTCAGCGCACACTAAGCCGGGGCTTCCCCTCACGCTAGGCCGCTGTGTTTTTTCGTTTATAATGGGTTTTAATATTTTTGTCTCGTCGCTCCGGCCGGACACGGCATTAACAGTATGTTGAGGGGCGTAACATTTCTGTCACACGCTTGAGGTATTCAGCCAATCACAACACACTGGACAGCTGGCCAATCACAGCACACCTCTGATGAGCTTTGTAAAAATCGACACGTTTCAGAAAGGCGGGGCATAGAGGAGAAACAATAATGTACAGTATGTGGAAAATAATGTGTTTTTTTAACTTTAAACTACATAAACACATTTCATTACACCAAATACACCAAATAATGTTCTTTTTAGCAGCATCATATGACCCCTTTAATGGAGGGACACAAATCTCTCATTAAAAATATTTGTATTTGTGTTTTTCTAAGTTTTATTGTCTAACAGTAAATCAAAATTGCGAATATTTTGCAAATTACAAATCATACACCTGGAACCCCGTTTAGTGAAAACTTTCATTGGTTGATTTCCATTTTTCTTCTATCAGACCTGGCTAGGCGATTCAGCGGTGAGGCGTTCAGAATCAGACCAGCCAGGATCGATTGGTCAGGTCTGGGTGAAGGGAAATGGAAGTCTACAGACGGGGATAAGAGATTGAAATCCGAATGTGGAACTTTGTTTTTGTCTGTGAGGAAATACTTTAAGGGAAATGTCTCTTCGGACCTTTTGTGTGCCTTACCTTTCACGCGCAAACCACTAATGGGACAAAGCACTCGTAGATTCCTATCAGATTTGATGATTGATTTGATCAGATGAGCAGCCTCAGTCAGTGCAGCGAACAGACCGACAACAGCAACAGCCTCCATTCCAGAGCTGGTGAGTGACAGTTATGTCCATATAATGCAGATCAACGGTATAAATCACGCCGAAGTAATTATGTGTAGGAATTTTCGCAGGCGTCTTTCTTTTTTAAGTATAACCTCTTACGATTCAATGCAGGGCAGCCTGTATTGTTGAATCCACCTTGTGAACGTCCTCGTATTCATACAGTTTTTGCATCAATCATGCTTCATAACATATCTTGTCGTTTATTTTGTTATGCCATTAAAGCATTTTAGTTGATCTGTGTCTAAGCTACTGAACGGAACCTATTATTTCGGTCTGTAGGCGAGACGGCATGTACATGTTATTGTGATCAATCGATCTGTTTGATTAAAATATATGATGTTTCTTACAGCTGTTAATATGAAACCGTCTTTATCAATGCGATAGTCGAGTGTTTGCAGTTGCAGCTATTCAAGGCAAGGCAATAACGTATCGTTGATTCTTCAGCAGTTGCTAGTATCGTTGATAAATTCCATTATTCAAGCAAATGCAGAACTACATGGTCAGGACTTTTCGTTTTGTATGACTTTATAAAGGCAGACGGATCATATATTGCTGTCTCATGCCCTGCCTGTGTCTGTATTTGTCTCCCTTTGTTTGGGTTGTTGTTGTGTCAGCCTCTCCTCAGCCCCTGACTGCTGCACTACAGCATGTAGACAGCAGTGCTTTCTCCTGGAGCTTTTGCAAATGAAAATGGAGGACGTGTCTCTGTCCAGTATGGACAACAGTAAGATGGAGGTGAGTGGGTACGCCTTTGTTTTTCATATGTTATATTCCGCATCATTGAATAAACACATGTGGGTGTTTCACCTCTGCGTCACGAAGCCTGTCTCGTGGTATACATTGCACACTCATTTCATTGGCTTTCCCAGCTGATGTGTCCACTGAGTGCGCAATGTGATGTGTACTCTTCTGAAGGTTACAGTGTGATTCAAGCGCATTAATACATGCATGTGTTGCGCCTTCTCCCACAGGGCTTTGCTCAAGAGATCCTGTCTGACCTGGTGGAGGACGCCTGTTTGGGGCTTTGTTTTGAGGTTCACAGGGCTGTCAAACAGGGATACTTTTTCCTGGATGATACAGACCAGGAGAGTATGAAGGACTTTGGTGAGAGTCTCACATGTTTCTCAAATAAGGCATTGTACTGGCATTCTGGGACCTAATGCCCTTCACACTAAGAACGATAACAATAGCTATTAGCGTTCACATAAAGGCATGATAACATTCTGTTTATTATAAGCATGCGCTGCAATTATGTTGTATGCCACTTTAAATGCTTGAGCTCTTGAATTCATTCCAACCAGGGGCGTAGCCATCATTTCAGAAGTGAGGGGGACAGAAATGTTATATATATATGGGATTGACTCCCTTTTGCAGCCAGCCTCTAGCGGCCAGTTGACGAATTACAGTTTAAGCCACTTCCGTGTTGGCTTCACGAGAGAGAGCGGGAGGTTGCCGCTCGATCGCAACTCTTGTCTTTCCGTCCCCAACTGTAAGACCTCTTGAAATTATAATTAAGACATTTCTTATACCATTTAAACGTATTTAAAACTTTTTATGGCCTTAAGTTTGATACAACTCACTTTAGGAGTTTTTAAGGACCCGCGGGAGACCTGCATTTAAGATAGCCCGTCCGGCAGAGTGGTGATACATATTGGTAGCCCGACTGGAGTCTTCAGTGTCACATGATCTTCAGAAATCATTCTAATATGCTGATTTTAATTATTATTATTAATGTTTTTTGAGCAGCAAAACAGAATATCAGAATGATTTCTGAAGGATAGTGTTACTGGAGTAATGATGCAAAAAATGTAGCTTTGAAATCACTATAAATTACATGTTTAAATATATTCAAATAGAAAACAGTTATTTGAAATAGCCTAGTAAAAATATTTATTATTTATTACCTGGAGATGACTTGACAAACCATATTGTCACAATCGTATGTTTAATGTCTTCATGTTTCCAAACGTTTCTGTTTTTCTGAAAACAACTGTTTTCATACAGCCATAGCTGGATGCTTTTGTCCATATTAGGAATTTCCTCGTATGACTTTCTGCGCGAGAGCGCCCTCCGGCTTCGAGTGTGAATGAAACATACACTGCACAGAGTGTTTAGCACTCCATGATGTTCATCTCGCCTTATTCTGGGTCCGAATAAAACATCAGATCATGCACAGATTATCCTGTCTCTTTGAATTTAAATCTATATTTATTCACACCGGTTCTTGAAAACCTCTATGCGAACACACTTGCCCGAAAAAGTGCGGGGGACGAAATTTACGTTATATTAAAAGTGGGGGGGACACGTCCCCCGCGTCCCTCACGTAATCTACGCCCCTGATTCCAACAATATGGAATTTGCTATTCTTTAAGATTTATAATTATTTTTAAAACTATATCAGGGCTCACAAAATGTCAAAATCCCTGGTAGCCCTTCGGGCAGGTACTCTTCAGATTTTGGTAGCCCCGAAAATGTATTTAACTAGCCCCAAAAAAAAGCTGCACAAGTAAAATGAACACCGTATGAGTGGGGTTGGACAATGTATATGGTAACATACAGTGCTGAGCCATAAAATTACATGATTTACAGTTCAGATACAGGTTTTCACAGAAACTAAAATCTTATTCAACAGCATTTCAGCCTTTAGACCATTTTTATGAAAAGGGATAAATCAAGTATATAAATTGTTAATTTAAAACGTATAAATATTACTGTCTTAACTGTTTAGATTTTTAGAAGGCACATTAACTTCTTTCTCATTTACAACTCCATGTGTTTGCTGCATTAAAACACCAGTTGATATTTGCATTGATCTGACCAAAAAACAGCAAGAAAGGCTTATTGGAAATGCAAAATCATTCTCTGCCACGAGGAGGCGCTTTAGGAGCGCTGAAATAATGCGGTTTCCCCGGTAACGGCTGTACACCTGCTTTATCAGGAATTATAGGTCAAATAAAATTAAAATGCCACCGACACGTTTCTGAGGACAGTCGGTTCCCTTCAGATACATTTAAATAAAGACATCCGCGCAGCGTTTTGACTTGAAACCTGCAGCGCTTATATTTATTCAATGACATCATTGCCTTTTGAAGTTTAATCCAGCCGTATCGCGACCATAGACTGTATAAAAACATGGATGTAGTGTCCGTGACGTAACCCGTAGACTTCCGACGAGCGTTTTGAAGCCTAAAGTAGGCGGAGCCAGCCGTCGCCATCTTGGCAGCGCGTCACCGCGCATCACTCCCAGATAATCGAAAAAGGGCAAAGAGGAGGGAGCTGGCTACTGAAACCACGCCCACCTAGCTCGACGTGGTGACAGCAGCTGCAATCCACCTGTCACTCAAGTGGCCACGCCCTTAATTATGCAGAACTTTAAGGCTTAGTATAATTTAAACGGATGAGTTATAAAAAAATTCACCCCCCTCACAGTTGTCATGAAGGGCAAAATTAGCTATATAGACCTAAACCACTTTTTGAACCAGGCTGGAAACATGTTTTTTTCTGCTGTAAAGTTTTAACATTCATTTTAACATGGGGAGGGTTTGACTCCCTTTTGCAGCCAGCCTCTAGCGGCCAGTTGACGAATTACAGTTTAAGCCACTTCCGTGTTGGCTTCACGAGAGAGAGCGGGAGGTTGCCGCTCAATCGCAACTCTTGTCTTTCCGTCCCCAACTGTAAGACCTCTTGAAATTATAATTAAGACATTTCTTATACCATTTAAACGTATTTAAAACTTTTTATGGCCTTAAGTTTGATACAACTCACTTTAGGAGTTTTTAAGGACCCGCGGGAGACCTGCATTTAAGATAGCCCGTCCGGCAGAGTGGTGATACATATTGGTAGCCCGACTGGAAAACACAATAGCCCCTGGACGTCGGGCTAGCAATATATATCTTTATCATCCTTTGTGTGAACTGGTATTTAGTCCAATTTTGTAATTAAAATTGGATTATTTTCTTGTCCATTTTCACTGATATGACTAAAGTCATGTGTGGTCATTTCACCAAAAGAGTGTAAGATGTTCATTTATATAATGATTTTACAGCAGGATCTTTTTATATTAAGGTGTGATCACAGCAACATTTTGGTGAAATTTGGTGAAAAGTACCGTGATTCAGAATAAAAAACAAAATACACAATCCAGCGGGGGCAGGGAGACTGGAAGAAATGAAACCAAATGGGAAAGCACCCTCAAGCTCTAAAAATCACAAAAAGCCCATAAAAGCAATCTTCATGACATTTGCACTATAATCCAAGATGTCTGAAGTCGTTTTCAAGGAAAGGCCATATTTGTAATGCCAGCAATTTCGGGTTTTCAAGACCAACTCCTGTGTACTTGACTAGGGAAATTCTGAAATCTCAAAATAGCTTGCCAAACTCACATTTAAATAGCACATTTCAAATCAGCAATAAAATTCGACATGAACTATCCCATAAAAATTGTTTCTTATCATCAAACAGTGTTTAAAAGTAAATATTTCATATTGGTCCAGTCAATGCGTATGTGCAGTCCCAAGTGCATGTCTCAATTGACTCAAAACTTAAAACTAATTTAACCCAAAACTCTTGTTTTCTACTGTCTTTTGTAGAAATCGTGGACCAGCCTGGAGTAGATATTTTCGGGCAAGTGTACAACCAGTGGAAAAACAAAGAGTGCGTGTGTCCCAACTGCAACCGGAGCATCGCTGCCTCACGGTTTGCTCCTCACCTGGAGAAATGCCTCGGCATGGGCCGCAACAGCAGTCGCATTGCCAACCGAAGGTATTATTATAATTGAACGTTCCCAGAAGAAAACTTAGTAATATAGATGTCAACTGAACTCCAGGCAAACGTTCATGGAGGGTTGGTGCTTGCCTGAATGTCTGGAATCAGTTTTTGATAATGCTGGTCATGTGACTGCTATTTTGGAACGTGTGATGGTAATGCGTGTGTTTCTATATAAATGCATATTTAGACTTGTGAGTGGCAACAACACAAACAAATCAGAGAGCGATCATATCGACTTGGACATGTTTACATCATGTCTGCACTTCAGCACTCCACTCAAATCACGTCATATTTATCATATAGCATTTTATACAACAGATTGAAGGAATAATTAAACCAAAAATGAAACTTTTCTGAAAATGTACCCAACCAGGCCATCCAAGATATACAGTGGGGAAAATATTTATTTGATCCCCTGCTGATTTTGTAAGTTTGCCTGCTTGCAAAGAAATGAAGGGTCTTTAATTTTTATGGTAGGGTTATTTGAATGGATAGAGACAGAATATCAACCAAAAAATCCAGAAGAAACACAATATAAAGGTTAGAGATTGATTTGCATTTCAGTGAGTGAAATAAGTATTTCATCCCCTACCAATCAACAAGAATTCTGGCTCCCACAGATTGGTTATGTGCCCATGTGGAACACAGATTAGTCCTGTCACTTTTAAGAAGTTACTCCTAATGTCAGCTCGTTAGGTGTATAAAAGACACCTGTCCACACAATCTGTATCTTCCATTCCAACCTCTCCCACCACCATGGGCAAGACCAAAGAGCAGTCAAAGGATGTCAGAGACAAGATTGTAGATCTGCACAAGGCTTGAATGGGCTACAAGACCTTCAGCAAGAAGCTTAGCGAGAAGGAGACAACTGTTGGTGCAAAAAATACAAAACAACCATCAATCGGCCTCGGTCTGGAGCTCCGTGCATAATCTCGCCTCATGGGGTAAGGATGATCATGAGAAAGGTGAGGGATCAGCCCCGAACTACACTGGAGGAGCGTGTTAATGATTTTAAAGGGATAGTTCACCCAAAAATGAAAATTCTGTCATTAATTACTCACCCTCATGTCAATTCAAACCGGTAAGACCTTCGTTCATCTTCGGAACACAAATTAAGATATTTTTGATGGAATCTGAGAACCTGGATTTTTTTTCTCTCATTTTGTCTCTCATAGTTGAGGTATACCTATGATGAAAATTACAGGCCTCTCTCATCTTTTTAAGTGGGAGAACTTGCACAATTGGTGGCTGACTAAATACTTTTTTGCCCCACTGTATGTCTGTGGATTTTGATGTTTTTTTGTAACTTGTAACTTGAATTTTGGCCAGAAGCCACAGTTTAAAGTTAAATTGGATTTGTTTCTTAAAAACACAAATTTTCTGAATAACTTGTAGATTATTTTGATGTTTTTATCAGCTGTTTGGACTCTCATTCTAACGGCACCCATTCACTGCAGAAGATCCAAGTGAAATTGAAATTTCTCAAAATCTGTTCTGATGAAGAAACAAACTCCTCTACATCTTGGTTGGCCTGAGGGTGAATACATTTTCAGTAAATTGTCATTTTGGGGTGAACTATTCCTATAAAGCAAGCAGCTTCACTGTGTTAATATCGGTTTCAATATAATTGCAACTTCAATTTCTACTATAAAGCAGCTCTTCATTGTGTTCATGTATTTACTCACTTCTAACCTCGACAGACTGAACAGAAGAAACGAACCGGAGAAAGTTTCCACGTCAAAGAAGGCAGAGCCTCAGAGCACACCTACTCATTATGCAATCGTCATGGGCCAATGGTAGTTCGAAGGCGTTTACCAGCCAGAGCAAACTTTTCCAGAAAGTTTGCTTTGGCAAGCTGTTTCGAACACCTAAAGCGAACTCCAACTGATTTTGTTCGAAATCACACCATCACACCAGTTCGTTCTTCGATTTCGCTTGAAGTATATGGAGCCTGTAGTGGTCATTCACACAGAACTTGTTTTTGCATTGAAAAACATGACATTGGGAATGGGGGGGGAGTGCAAGGACGCTTTTTTTTTTTTTTTTTAATTAAACTTCTTTAGCTTAATTGTCAAACACGACCATATAGCGCATGTTTACAAAGAAAAACAATGAAAATGCAGTGGAGTGGAATACAAAAACACACTCTGTGTTAACGGCCCCTTAAGTTGCATTCAGCAAGTTCAAGGTCCAATTTAAAAGGTTTACATGCTGGTTAAAAATGGTTTAAGGTTTTTGAAAATAATTTTATTTAACTGTCTGGTGAATGGTTTTCTTGAAGCTTTGCTGGATCCTAAGCGACGTGTGGAGAACCAGGACAGTTTGTGCGTGTTGCTAAGAGATGAGACATTCTCTCAATAACACTGTGGGTAGCAGGAGTCCCTAACTACACACAGTGCCACACAGTTCACCTTATCACAGGATTGTGTGATCTGAATTATGCTGATCAGTGGAGGAGATGTGGACTAATTCTTCTGTCATTCAGTTTACATTTTTTTGTCTTCAGAATTTTTTTGCACAATCTCTAATATGCTGCTCATGCAGCTTTGATGGCTGGTCTCTCAAAAATGACACATCTAGGATAGAGGAACTTGCACGATTCTCTCAGGGAGAAAGTTAGAACTCATCGTATCAGCAAACAGACGCTGGGCCAGTTGAGCTCTCCCATCACTAAGGTGCAGCTTTCTTTCTAAATGAAAGATTCTCATATGTAATCTCTCATTCTGGGAGGATCTTGCAACAGTTAATAATTAAATTGTTAAAGATTAATAGCAAAAATCAAGATTGTGAATCAGTGTGAACAGTTCCCTATCAGGTAATTACTACACAGGTTTTTATTAAATTTTTTGGAGAATCATGATCCAGTAGAGTATTTTCTTCTCTCTGTAGTTTAATAGCCTATGTGTGGTACAATTGTACTATATTATGTCACTAGATCTATAGCACATTATCATACTTCATTTTTTTTTAAATAGCAAGTTATTGGTTACAAAGAGAGGAAAGACAGTTTGGCATAGATCTCCCAAAAAAAATTAAGGCTTGAGAATATCTTTATTATTGAAATGTTTTTTATGTTTTAGATGTTTACAGTGTAAGGTGTCCTGTGCGGTCTCACTTTGTTTGTGACTGTGTGTGTGTGTGTGTGTGTATATATATATATTTGACTAGGTGAAAGATGCTGCTATCCTGACCGCGAGCCGTACGCTTATGGGCATGTCATCCATGTAATAAAAGATCAGAACTCTGAACATGGTTCATGTGTGTGCTGCAAATATTTATTTCAGAAATATGGGTGTTGTAAAGGCAAAAAAAAAAAAAATTCAGAAATTCTAAACTGTGAGTGGTGATCGTTCCAGCCTGTAAGTCCCTTGGTAAAATGCATCGCTTGAGGCTTTGGCTTCCTTTGTGTTCGCAGATGTGTACAATTAACTGGCTACTTTTTGTCAATTAGTTCTGGTCCTCAAAATTTATTGTATGAGCTAAATTCTAAGACTCCTGATTTGTAATACTACAAGAGTAGGGCAAGTGAATAGCACTAAAGGAAATCAGCAGAATGTCCAACAATGGCAACATTGCAGATGTTGTATGTCCGGATTTCATTACTACTACAAATGTAGTACCTACCCTGTGATTTCAAATGCAGTGTGAAAATTTTGACTCTTTTTATCACAGCTTGCCTGTGTTTACAGCCGAATCAAACAACAGGGTCTGGCTGCAGACTTGCACTTGCACTGTCAGACTTGCACTTGCACTGTCAGACTTGCACTTGCACTGTCACACTTGCACTTGCACTGTCACACTTGCACTTGCACTGTCAGACTTGCACTTGCACTGTCACACTTGCACTTGCACTGTCAGACTTGCACTTGCACTGTCACACTTGCACTTGCACTGTCACACTTGCACTTGCACTGTCACACTTGCACTTGCACTGTCACACTTGCACTTGCACTGTCACACTTGCACTTGCACTGTCACACTTGCACTTGCACTGTCACACTTGCACTTGCACTGTCACACTTGCACTTGCACTGTCACACTTGCACTTGCACTGTCAGACTTGCACTTGCACTGTCAGACTTGCACTTGCACTGTCACACTTGCACTTGCACTCTCGGACACTTGCGCTTCTGCAATTGACGTCACTTGCAGTCTTTATTTTTATTTTTGTTTTTTTTATCTCTCAACATTTTACAACAGTAGCCAGGTGGTGAAGACAAGAAAAAAAAAGAAACTAAATTACAATGTCACTTGCAATCGCAACTCAGACTTGCACTCTCGGACACTTGCGCTTCTGCAATTGACGTCACTTGCAGTCTTTATTTTTATTTTTGTTTTTTTTTATCTCTCAACATTTTACAACAGTAGCCAGGTGGTGAAGACAAGAAAAAAAAAGAAACTAAATTACAATGTCACTTGCAATCGCAACTTGCACTCTCCGCTACCTGCGACGTCACTTGCAATCCACTCAAATCGTGCTCTATGTATTAAGATGCTCTTAAAATATCAAATTCAATATACAGTTTATTAAAATAATATGTATATAGTATTTTCCACCCATACCGCAAAATGTGCCATAATGGACTAAGATGATAATAAAGACCAAACTCAATATGCTCCTCTTCATTATTAAAATATACAAAACTATGTACAGGCAAGTGAGCCCAGAATAAACGCAACATTACGTGTTTTATTTATAATGATTTTTTTATGGGAGGAAAATGTTTAACATGCAATTTAACGCATTGCGTTCTGGGCTTGTCTGCTTGCCTGTACGGATCTTGATCCTTTTAATATCACTTAATGCATTTCATAATGCATGTTCATATCTGCTGGTCTGTATATACTTTGCGTCAACAACAAGACATATAGGCTACTGAATTGTCTTTATCATCCGTTATTATGCCACATTAAGCGTTTTGCTGTATGGGAGGACAAGTGAAAGTTTGTGCATTGTGTTCATGGCCATCTGCTTGCCTTGTAGTACATTAAATAATAACTATATATCGAATTTGATCTTTTAATTGCACTTAATGTATCTTAATAGCCTACATCACGCCATATTAAGTGTTTTATGTTTTTCTACAGGAGGAAAACGCTTAGCGAGAGACTTTGTGCATTGCGTTCATGTAAGATGTTGAGAGATTCAAACAAAAAGTAATCAATAAATAGAACATAATAAAAATAAAAAAATAAAGACTGCAAGTGATGTCACTTGCGGAAGCGCAAGTGTCTGGGAGTGCAAGTCTATGGAGGACGAAACCTGCAAAAACAATAAATAAATAAATACACAAATAAATAAATGTGTGCATAAATACACGTA